GGGTTGGAAGGGCCTCTAAAGGTCATCCAGTCCAACCTCCCTGTAATGAGCAGGGACATCTTCAACTAGACCAGAGCCCTGTCCAACCTGACCTTGAATGTTTCCAGGGGCATCTACCACCTCTCCAGGCAACCTATCCCAGTGTTTCACCACCCTCACTGTACAAAATTTCTTCCTTATATCTGGTATAAATCTATCCTCTTTTAGTTTAAAACTATTGCCCCTTGTTCTGCCACAACAGGCCCTGCTAAAAAACTTGTCCCCATCTTTCCCATAGGCCCCCTTTAGGTAAGAGAAGGCTGCTCTAAGGTCTCACTGGAGCCTTCTCTTCAACAACTCCAACTCTCTCAGCCTGTCCCATAGAAGAGGTGCTCCAGCCCTTTTTCTTTGTGGCCCTCCTCTGGATGTGCTCCATATCAAGAAGTGTGATACATTCCCTTACCCCAAGTACCTTTTTGATATTTGGAATAGTTTCCGATATTTGGAATAGGAGCAAACCAGATCACTGCAGCTGTGTTCAAGCCTAGACTTTCAAAATAACCAACGGGAAAAGGAAAAAATAAGTAGTATAAACAACAAATTATTACACGTTTGGTGCTTTCGTGATGTGCTACTTGAGGGAATATAGCATGCCTTTTGAAAATGAATATTTTGTTATTTTTTCTGGTTATTTCTGAGTTTGTAGAGTTCCTTACTGCTGTGCAAAACACTTGGCTTCCTTTATCATTGAGTATGTTCAGGACTTACAAAGAACTAAATAAATGCCTTGTTATCTGCATTCTTAAGCTATAGAAACATCTGCAGATCCAGGGGCGTCATTGAAGACATGTACAAGGACAAAGATGTCTGAAAGCTGATTGCTTTCAGATATTTATTCTCACAATTCTTGTTGCAACAGCATACAGGTTGCAAAAGCATAACAGCTCTGCAGGTGGGCACCTCATCAGCGAGTAATTACTCCTCACTCCACAACAGCTTTGGGTGAGAGATTTGGACTTAATTGCAAATTGAAAAGGAAAGCTGCATGGTATGTACTTGAGCACCACTTTGATCCGTAGGTATCATAAGAAACAGAAAGTCATCAGCTGTTGATATCCCGCAGCAAAGAGATCCGTGTTATTTCCTGCCTCACTAACCTTCTGCTCCTGAAAGCATCAAATGGGTTCAACCAAAACTAAACAAAAGCAGAGCAAGTAATCTCTTCCAAACGTGATACCCAGCAACACAGTCATTGAAACATCCCAAACCAGTCATCAACTATAGTGGCAACTTGATCTTTCAAACTTTGCTAACAGATTATGGCATTATCTCCCTCCCCTCAGCTTTTGACCCCTTACTTCCCAAGATTAGTATTTTTTCATGGTTTCAAAATTCTTTTAATGCCCCAAATCTAGCCCATACCTCTGACATCAAACGTATTTGCTGACTATACGTGCACAAACTGCGTGTGACTTCAGGCAGCTCTTGGGTATGAGGTTAGTTTGGGGATATTGTACACCCTGCTGATTATCAAGAGCAAGTTCCAAAGAGGGGAGATGCAAGGAGGGGGAGGACGAGGGGAGACTTTAAAAAGCTGTCTGCCCCTGTGATTTTCAGCTCTTTGAAAAAGCAGGAAAGAATAGAAAAGCATCCCTGATGTGTAGATAACTACAAAGGAACTATTCTTACCAGGTTCCTTCAGTAAAATGAAGGGTGCTTTGACTGCATTTTTTGGCCTTGCTAATCTGACAGATATTGATGGATAATTTGGAACAGCCAAAATCTTTGTTCCAAAACCACTGACTCATACATGCTACATCCAGATGTTTTACTTGGTTCTTAATAGGTATCAAAGCTTTCTTTAAATACTTCAAAATTGCATTTTATATGTTCAAGAATGTATGCATGCAGGGGAGGGAAAAGATGGAGAGAAACTCCATAAAAACAGCTTAAAAAGAATTATTTATGCCTTCCAACATGGACACTTTAAATACTCCACCCACACCCCTACCCCCAAAACAATTTGTTTCTGCCTAATCAAGTTAGAACATTAGTAGCACCATGATTCTTAATAAGCAATTAGGGCATTGAAGTCTACAGGTACAGGAGCTTGTGTGTGTCAACACTGCTATGCTGACTGCCCTCACCCCTGCCTCATGGATGGGACAGGAGCAGCCTAACCTGCTGGACCCAGCCAGTCCCCCACTGGTTGCCCAAGAAGGGATATCCCCAGGACTTTAAGAGCTGGCCCATCATCTCTTCCAGAGGAAAAGGTCTCCAAAAATCCTCCCCTGGGATTCAAGAAAGGAAGAAATCTTTCATCTGAGAGCACACAGGGGAGGCACCCCTATGCCATAAGCAGTAGATCAGAAAGAAAGCGAGTAACGCATGCACCACGGCTCTTGGCAGTGCTCGTCTCCCCAGCAGTGCCTAAGCCACAACCATCAGAGAGCAGCTGAACAGGCACATGACTCTGAAAATAAAGAGCCCACTCATGTGGGAAGTAAAGACAAGCAGAGAAATCAGACACAGAAGAACAGAGGCAGCAGGTTTCATCAGGATTTGGGAAATGCAGTGCTGTGCAATTTGCAGAATTTCTGAGTTATTCAAAATGGTTGCCTCAGCCTCATTCTCACCAGCCAGATCATGATGGAAGCATCTTTATGTACTGGCTATACTGCTTTGCAGTCACTGCAGGATAAACCCCTCAAGGAGGGTATTCATCCCTTTTTAAGGTAAATAAGCAATCAGTAAATACACCATTTCATCCCAAGATGAGCAATATTCTTCAAATCGGTAAGCCTTTTAGTAGGGAACCCTCCCAGTAGAAAACCAACCAACCAGACAAATTGCAATGCATACAAAAGGTGACAAGTATCAAGCCTAGCCAGAATTTCTGATCTGCCAGGAGTCAAAGCTGAAGACCTGCTGTTGAAGTGCTGCTTTTCCTTCCCCAGCAGGTCAGTGTAATCAGTCACTAACAGAAGCAGGTATGAGATACTGCAACAGTTAAAAGCATCACCTGAGCAAATAGGATCAGGCCATTCCCTTGTGCCTGTTTACAATATTGTGAAGTTTGTTAAACATTAAAGTTTGGGAAACATCCAGAGACAGTTTTAGACAGTTCACTGGTGAGAAAGCTACTCAGCCAAAACACTGACTGCTCTTCTAGATTAGACTAGCGTAGTCTGGAAACAAAAAAAGTCATTAGCATCAGTAGTGCTAGCCTTACTATGGCTAGCAGTGGCCCAAAGCGTATCTTATGGTTATTCATCAAGTAAGGGTATACAGAGTCCCAGCCTCACTCTCAGCACAAAGGCAGACACAGGAACAGTAGTCACTGGGATCTCAACACACAAGAGTCCATACAGCAACTTCAATTCCCCTTTTAATCTCAGAGACTTTTTCCACATTACATAGAACATGATCATGCAGCTTCACAGGACTTATTTTCCTCCGTTTCTTTTGGAATCCAAATACAGCAGAGGCCTCCTTCCTGCACCATGGATTCCAATCCCTCAAAAGTTTCACGCTATGCCAAAGAAGAGCTAGAAACAATCTATACTCAGCACCCATGCAGAGCAGAGCAGTCTTTCCTCCTGACACTGGGCTCAGGTGAGAATGCAAGAACCAGGAGCATTTTCATTAATCATGAGAAGTGCAGCAGAGGGACAGAGGTCCCTCTGGGCTGATCAGCCAGCAGAACTGAAGTTTTCTGGAGTTGTTTGGAGAAGTTTCAGTCATTTACATAAAGGCAAAGACAACAGCTGTGCTTGTAAAGACAGAGTCAGAAAAAAAAAAAAAGGAACAACTAGAAAACATACTCTTTAAAAGACCTTTATTTTGGCTTCATGGTTACAATTCTGAAGTCCATTTATGCTTACAGTTAGATTGTTCCCAAATAATATTTCATATCTCACCATGTAAACAGTGCATTCGCTATCAGTCTGGTGTATAAGAACTTTATAAAATACAGATTAAGTAACTTTTTCTTCTGTACACTTTTCAGATTAGTTCATCAAGATCACTTAAAAAGGCAAATAGGTTAATTGGCAAAAAAGTGTTGTTACATTTTTTAATATCTTAGTATGAAATGGCACAAAAGGAAAAAGGTCATTTTAAAGGCTATACCCATCAAATGTCTTAAACAGTTTGAATCAGTTCAATTGATTTCGACTTCATTTCAAATACCACTCTTGAACTTGGAATTGAACTCGTAATCTTCTTTTCTTCAGCTGTATGAAAGACCTCACATACTACTTTGGATCTGTTCACAGAAACCGAATCACAGCAGTTTCAGAACAGTGACATTCAAGTGCAGTTAGGAAGTTGGGAACTTCTATTCTTCCCAGTAAGCCTAAGAATTCACAGAGCTTATTTTCATGTAGCCAAGCCACACTTCAGATGCAAAGATACCAAGTGTGTCCACATAAAACACAGTATTTCTTAATGCAAGAACTGAAACAAAAAATCCACATAACTACATCATCCACCCTACCTACCTTTGCAGGAGGCTTCCAGGCATAAACATGCTCAATGCCAGGTACAGAGATAAATGAAGCATCTAAAAGATTTCAGCAAACTGAATGCTTAATTCAAAGGCTTCAGTTATAAAACAGATCTATCACACCGACTTCAGCAACCTACATCTTATTTTTGAATGACCCATATCAAATGGGCAGATGAGCGGGATGAAAAGTGAGCTAGAAAGACATTTCTAACTTAAAAATAAATTATGAGATGTGAATTCGTTGCCTCAAGCAACAGTTCTGGAGTTTGTTTTGGCAGCAACATTTAGCAATATCCCAAAAGATAATTGCCTGCCCCATCAAAGCAACGTATCAGGATTTTGATTAGCCCCCTAAACCTTAAGAGGTTTTTACATTTAAGTTAAAGAGAACAGTGTATGACTTTGACAGCACTCACATCCAAGAGGGCAGGCAGTTATACTGATGGTAGTACTGAGAACGTTACTTCTCAGGTTAAAACAAAAAGTCATAAAAAAAGTAAGCATGATGAAGTACAGGACTATTATTTTATTCAGCTTCATGATGAACAAACCATGACTAGGAATTTCCTTTCATAATTTAAATACCAATTACAACACTTTCTCCAGAGGCTTATCCTATAGCTAACCATAGGATGATTCCAAGAAGCAATACTCCAACAGCAAGTACAATGATGAGGATGCACATCTTCTTTCGGGATCTTTGCTGCCAATAGAGAAAAAAAAAAACAAACAACAAATCCAAGTTGATTGAAAACTGCACCACCACATCAGAAGACTATTCAAATGCTTTTAAGGTCCTACTGCTTGTGCAACTTAACTAAATTGTGTCCTTACTAACGAGTCATATAAAGTTGCTGAAGAAAAAAAGAGCAAAGTTATCCACAACTTACTTTTATGGCTGTATCATTCAGGAGAATGATTTCAGTGGTATTTTCTGGCATACATCATAAACTAATGAAAGAGAATGTAAGTAACATAATAAATGAATATAACTAGAACACTGATGGAAAGAAAACATGAGAGAGCAGGTGACCACATATAGAGGAAAACAGACAATCTGCAGAGTAGAGGAGGCAGAAATGGTCTGTTCAAAAAATAAAAAAAAAAGACTATTAATGTATATGCAGAAGGGGACAACAGACTGCAATTTTAGACTTGTGGAAGACTGGCTTTGCATCTACTGACAGGGTTATTTTAAAGTTGTTTTTGTCAAGTTTAAGTGCAACATGCTCTTAAAAAAAAACCAACACACACACAAAAAAAAAAAAAGAGAGAGAGAGAAACCTGACTAGAGACTCAGAATTTTCACATCTTCCATACAGGTCTGTAAGTTGAGATACCAGAGCATCCAAGATTTGCAGCAGTCTGTCATCATTTATCTAAAGGTTATGGAATCGAAAGGTTTCTTTCACAGCAGGAAAGGAAATTACAAGTGGGTTTCACAAGCTTGTGCTGATAGCCAAATGGTAACAACACTCAGATCTTGCGATTCCAGGCCACAGCCGCAGAAGCAAAGCCAGGCTTTGCTCTACTTGGCCGAGGTTCTTCTGCCTGGGTGTTTTTTCCTGAACTTTGTTAGTATCGTGATAGGAGCCAACCACCATACTTAATGTGCCAGTTACTGCCACTTAGAATACAGTTCAAGGATGCATTCACTCCTTTCCCTCTCTCACTTCTGCAATCAGCAGGCAATCCTTCAGACATTTTGTCATTGATTTACTGTGCTGGCTTTACTAATACATTAGAGGATTAAAAAAAAAAAAAAAAAAAATTCCCAGGACTAACTGACTTAAGAGGGAAGATTTATTACTAATAAGATTATTTCTAATGAGTTTCAAAAATGTTCAACAGAAATGGCATTTAAGGGTATTTAAAAGGCTTTTTAAAAAAAAATTGGAGATTTTGAAATAGGTTTTTGCACCAGGGTAGCAATTAACAGAAGCTGGATATATACAGCTTTGAGAAGATTTCAGACAGCAAAAATCAGTGCTAACTGGCAGCATCTTCAGAAGACTTCCCTGCCCATCTTCCCTAGTCCTCCAGTTATCTTTAGAGGCTTGCTCTCCATATACAGGAACTTTTTACTTCTTGAGCTGTAAAAGGAGAGGTTGGTTTGTTTGGGGGTTCTGTTTGTTTAGGTGGTTTTGATTTGTTTTTTAAACAAAGCTCCAGGTGCTCTGAAACAGCCTGGCTAATTTTACAGGAAACCCACAGCTTTCAGAGGTCACTGACTTTTGTTTTAGAGTGACCCAGAAGTACCACGGTAGTCTAACATAATACCATGGTAGTCTAACACAAACCTTTAAGGAAGTCTCCAAGCCTTGAGGAAAGCTAAACTACAGAAGAAAGTGGAAGTCAAGACTACTGAGAAAGGACACACAACTGTAAGTCGACACTGACATTACCTGGTAGTCTGCTGCTCTTGACAGCTGCTGGTTTGCCTGCTGCACATGTACATCTGCATTCTCCACATTGGCTTCTATGCTGTCTTTATTTTAAATGGGAAGAGTTAAAAATTTTGGTCAGTCATAACCTAGCCAAAGGTTTGGAATGTTGAAATACACTTGAGAGCATACGTAACAGTTGCCCCCCAACTGCTTTGTCTTCTCTTCATCAGTACACAAAGTTTTGTACCTTGATTTATGGAAGTTTGGTCAACACTATACTTATGAGGTAGAAACTTTCAGTACTCCTACTTTTTTCTTTTGATTTTAACACCCCCCCACCCCATTTTTACTTGTCCTCCAAGTTCCTACTGACAACCCTCTGCTCAGATTAAAAAAGTCCTAACGTGTACGAAATCAGAGGAAATGGACACACAGAACAGCCCAAGAGCCATGACTAATTTGGTATGCTATCATGGTGACACGGATATTTTATCTTTTATTTTTTCCTGGAAAAATATGAACAGGTTATGGGCTAAAGTGATAGAAAAAGATTTGAAAATGTATGCTGGACATAGACAACAGCATGGCTTAGCAGCAGACTCAGAAAATATATTTTCCAATCACATTTCTTTAAAAGAATAAACCTGCCTGCATCAGGGGCAAAGCAGGAACCTTTGCTGAATCTGCACACTTATATCGTTAGTTAATACAGTAAAACTGCCCACATGAACCCCTATTTTAGGTACAAACAGTTCAAAAATCTGCTCTTAAGGACATTATATACATATTAAAAAAGACATAATTATTTATACAACATTTTAAACACACCTTCTTAGCATATTCCCAGTCACCTCAGTCTACCCATTATTAGGTTGCACCTGGTTTGCTTTAGCATTGATATTTTCATTAGAGGAAATTTTCCAGCAAAAGGGAGTTCTACACTGCTGCTCTCCAGAGAAACATAATAAAAGATTTTCAGAGAATGTTTCAATTGGACTTACCTATCACATCACCTTGCTCATGGATCATCATTCCTAGATCTTTAAAAATTTCATTGATGTCCATAATATCTGCCTGCATGGAAACAATCATTGCATTAATTGGCATAACATATTCTAATATCTCTGTACATTTAGATACAAATACAGCTCCTCCTCCTCCTGAGTATATATCCATGACTTTCTACACTAAAGGATAAAAAAAAGTTTACTTGGACATCTTTTGGTATTATGAGATCAAGTTTACCATAATCAAACTACCTGAGGGTAAGTATGCACACAAAGTACACTTCACATCTAAAATGGGACCTCTCATGGCTGAGGGCTTGGCTACGCTTGTATTAGTTTAACTGAAGGGAAAGGCTCATGACAGCTTTGCTTAAAAGCTACCCACTTAAACTAATAAAGGCATGCAGAAAGTATTTTGTGTTAGTTTTAGTGCACCTATTGAACTAAACACAAACAAATTTCATAAGCACCACAATTCACAGAAATCATATGGCCAGGCTCTTGCACCTTTATTACACTATATCCTATTACCATCTGGTTATAATGAAGTGATAGATGCCAAGTTACCATCCATATGATCTCTTCTTAACTAATGACTGATAGACATTTAGTTCAATTTACTGTAAATTAACATATGGGTGGCAAGGAAGAGATTACTGAAAAATTTATAGATAGAATAGATTTTGCTACATGCATGAGCAAGACTTCCTGACAAACTCTAGTTCCAGCATCTTTCTTGTTGATGGCAGAGATGTGTTTTATCCAGAATGGCTGGAAAAATTCATTTTGCTTTCAGAGAAGCCTCTTGCTGTCAGTATTTCATCACATGACAAGTTTTATGTGTAGCTTACATCTCATTTTTAAATGTTTTTTAACTTTTTCACAAGCCCTAAACTACAGAAGTTTGAATGAAACAGAGTATCTCTTTATTTCCAGGAATGTTCCGAAAAGCTGCTTACAAAATTAAGACGTTGAACAATACATTGGGAATGCCTGAGAGGAAAGGTATAATTTTGCTACATTTATATTCACTGTTTAAAAAGGTTATGTGAAAGCACCACTATCCTGAAAAAAAAAATTATGTGGTTTTTTTTGGGTTTGTTTTTTTTTTTGCAATCACATAACTGAACCACTGAAGTTAGAGTATTGAAACACAGCTTTCATATAGAAGAGCTCTAATGCATATTTCACATCTAAAGGCAATTATTTGTAGTTTTGAAGGAAAAACACACATCCACAAACAAATACTAACTCCACAAGATTTATGTCTGTAATTAATGTTCACGCCACTTTAAAATGTTCTTTTGCTTTGAAAACATTAAAAGCATATTCTGCTGTAAAAGGACTTGTACTTACCTCAAGCTGCCTAATGGAAGATTCCCTCTCCTGAATAAGACGGAGATCATCTTCTGTAATTTCCTCATCTTGCACTTGTTGTGCCTGTGGTTGACTATCAAACAAAAAAATCCCCACCCAGAACAGAACAGGCATGGTGAAAAACCACTCGGAAGAATAAAACAACAGGCACATACTTTACATTATCGGTTGACAAAATGTACATTTTTACTCTTGCCTGTCTAGCTAACAAGGGAAAAAAAAGGGTCTAAGTCACCTCTTCGGTATAGGAAGCTGCCGCTGCAGCAACAGCGTACATAGCATTCAGCTAGCTATCTGGAAATTCCAAGTATAAATACAAAGGCAAAGTTTACATCCATCTGAGGCAAAAACGAAACTAGCCAACAAAAAAGAATCTAAGATTGAGAAGCAGTTCTCAGAGACTATGAAAGCAATGAGAGTTCCCAGATGACACTGAACCCTTATCACAACAGTTTTGCTCTGTTTGCAGGGTGGACTCTGCTTACCTAAGCTTGGGTCTCAGAAAGCCCAAATACAGGCTTAGGGCAGCTTAAGCATAAGCAGATGACTAAAGCTGAAACATGGGGAAAAAAGGGGAGATGTGAACCATTCCTTTTCTTCCCACCTATCCCACAAAAGTCTCTTCTCTACCCTTGCCCTATGGAAGAAAGCCCAACTGAACAACCTATCCCAACTCCCTCTAGAAAAAGGCAACTGATCAGAAGAATTAAAAAAATAAATTGGCAGCTGGCTTCTCTGCAAGCCATTTATTATTCTGAACTAGGTTAAGACTTATTAACAAATTCAGCCTACCTGTCCCAAGAGACAAGTGTTCGTTCCTTGTAGGTATCTTCAGGAGCACCACCCTACATGATCGGTGTTTAAAAGTATAAATAAAACATTATGGCCCTGAAAAAAGCACTGTCAGCATTTCTATAATGAGTCAAGGTTTATATTGAGTCAGCTTCTTACTGAAACATGATCTAACATGTTCTCATCCTGATTTTGTTATATAGCATATATAGCATTTGCATAAAGCTGAAATACAAGCAAAACTATTCAGCTCGGTAACTGCCTGCTAAAATTTACAAGCATAGCAATGTGTATTTGGCACAGAGTGAAAAGGCAAAATAGATACGCTAACAAGGAAAAGCTCAACATCTCAAGCTCTTCAGCATTTCTCCACTGTTACTGCATAGAAATCTGGCAAGTGATCCTTCCCTGCAGGAAAAAACTATTGATATTAAAAGGTCTAGCAAAAGCATTTTAAAATCTAATAAAACCTGCTTTTTCAAGATTACAGCATGAACCTGGGGGCAGTTCATGCCTTTGTGTAACAAAGGCAAGGAGAAAATAACAATTATTGGGGAAGCTGGGAGTATTATTACAACTTATTTCAGCCTTTACTGTAAAGTCACATATAGCACACATTTTGCTGTATTTGGAGTCAGAGATGAGCTTTTGTATGTAGCGTTGTAGATACAAGTTTAATGTAGAACACCAACACCATTGCAAACAGAGAACAATGGTGCATTTCTTGATACTTACAGATACCCTTGAGCTGGCTCTTACTCTGGCTACAAAGTCTTTTTCTTTCTCAGCAGCTTGCCTTTGGAGTCTTTGGAAATTTGTTAGTGCTGTGGTGAACTCCCCAACAAGACGGTCTTTCTGTATTTTTCTTTGACGCTATAGGAGAAAAAGTTTTAGCAAGTCAAATAAGCTCAGGGTTTTCAAGGCTCTGCATTTAAAGGCTGCTCAATGCTAAGCCATATATTCTTGTTTGGTTGGTTGGTTTTCTAAATAGGTGTAAGGGAAAGCTGTCTACAAAACCATTTGTACCTGCATGGACAAACCTTTCCTCTGGGATCACAATCTGATTTAAAGAGGAAATCAACGTTTTTATTTTAACAGCTGGAAATGACAAATAGGCAGGAACAAGAAAGCTTCTACCTTCCTTATTATCTGCTGATTATAAAACCTACTGTTTCAGTATGAAATGTTTTGAACCTGTGGATGCTAAAATATGCAAAGGTGGGAGAAGGAGTGCAGAAAAGAAAGAACACGGCACTTCACATGTATTTTACATAAATACTGGAAATACATATTGAGCTGCATCCAGAAGTTGGTTCATATGCCCCCAAAGTGCTTAAGAACCGGTACAAAAATACCTGTTCTAATCTTTCAGGCTTTTCTATTATTATTATTATTTTCTAAGAATGTAGGGAAGGAAAGAGAAATACTGGGCACTGAGGAAAGCCTCCGCCATATTTCCCTAAAGACAAACATTACATCAACCCTTCCTTCCACATTTCTCAGAGGCTATAATTTGCCATTCAGCAATCTGTTATTTATGCATTTCATCAGGGGGTAGCTTTGATGAAGATGCTCATGATAAAAGAAGTAAATTAAGCAGTAAACATCTCACCACCGGTTTTCCAGCTCCAAGATAGAAAACCCATAAAACAAACAAATAAACAAAATTAAAAATTAACCAACCCAAACATGCTTTGCCTGAACTAGAGGTTATACACCAAGACTAAGTTTTAACACCTCTGTCTGAAGGTTACAGTTTGACAGGATGGGCACACATGGATCACGGCCTGCTATTTGAATCCAGCATTTCAAGACAATTCATTTTCTTAAAGGCTCCTTGCTAACCAGCCACTGACCAGGCAAATTGTCTGAATTGACAATAACCTGAACACATTTTCAGGGATGCTGTTGCTCTTCCCTTATAGAGACAGATTTTGCAAGGATATGAAACTGTACAGTGGCATATAGGAGGATGACAATGACAACAGCCATGTTAACTCCTGACAAGATTTTACACAGACCTGGGCAAGAAGCCATTTAAAGACTTTACACATTGTTTCAGCAACAACTCCTGCCCACCCCTCTTAAAAAAAGGAAAAGCCTGTGCACAAGACATAGCACATATGCTGAACAGAGTGACATATCTACTGTGCATAATCCCGTTATTTGGACAGTGGGTGAACAGGACTGGCTGCCTGCCCTGATTCCTTGACCCTGGAAGCAGTCAGAGTGCTTGCAGAGCCAGCATCACTGCAAGAGATTACAAAGTGCCCAATTACCTGAAATCACAGGCACGGTGACAGGCACAGGCACAGGCCTTGATTCCTACCATTTCAAGCAGACTACCTCATTCCTGATACATAAAAAAAACTCTGGGACAAGTACAGGCTGCAACAGTGTCCCTGTTGTGCAAATATGTTGACTAACTAAGCAGTGCTTTGAAAGCCTGGTGAGAAGCACAAAAATAGACATGCAAAATTGTAGTCACTCAAATACTCTACATGAGCCAACATGACAGTCAAACAAGGCATGCTCTTTGGTTTTATACCTGTTCACTTGTTGCAGGCAAAGATCCAAATTCTTTAATGTGTTTATCAGTTTCTTTGGCAAGCTGGTTGGTGTATTGCTGCTTCTGTTGCCTAAAAAACAAAAGCAAAGTTTCATTAGAGACCATTAGGTTATTATGTTTGAATTTCACTGATTCTCAGAAACGCAGCAGTAACAAACTCTTCTCTTAAAGTGAAGGAAGCCATCTTTACTCTGTTCTTTACTGTAAAGGTGTGACATCAGGGATTCCAGTTGGGACAGATGCTGAAGGTGTGTTCCTCAACGTGACAGCATCATTACTCAGTTTTCAAAACAAGCTTTCATGGTCCTTTTGAGGCTATCAATAGTTGGAAATACCTGGTCATTTCCAAATTAGACAAACTACAGGAAACACCATGAAAGCACCAAGAAAGAGAGATCTATATTCTCCCATGATACAATAGCTGTGAACTTAGCTGAAAACTTCACTATTTACTAATAGGTTTAACAGTGGTTAAAAAGAAGCCCTTCTTCAACAGCACTGCCTTTTTGTTTTGTTTGTTTTTTTTTGCCTCTGCTTTTGATGTTCCTGGAGCAACTCAAATTCTTTATCTGCTTTTGCATTCTCCTCCCCAGTGTATATAAAAAGGTTTTATCTGAAAAGCTACTAGCAAACAATCAGTATAAATATTAAAATAACCAAATAACTCTTCAGAGAAGTGCCAACATGAAAGGAAAGGCCAAATATTCAGGCAAGTGAAAAACGGACAGATAAAAACCTCAAGGAAGCTTACTATAAATGTTACTTCCATAAAGAGACAGGAGTATGTCCTTCACAATAGTTTGTCTTGTTCAGTTGTGAATTTATGCCTAGATTCTATCTGGTTATTGCATAAACTGCATGTTGACCTTCACCTATACACTGTCTTCAGTAGGACATCCATGGTGGACTGTACCTGACTAACTTTATGGGCCCTGAACTTAGGCTATTACAAAGCAATATGGCTGTTCACATAAAAATGAATGGATGCCTTTGGTCCATTACACACCTCCTACTACTATTCAATGGCCACAGTTCAACATTAACTATGCTGAAAACTGCCGACTGTCTCACCCACAGGGTTAGCACAATACATCGCTTACGTGCATTTATGATCCTGAGATTAATGTGGCAAAGGAGTTTAATGGAAAAAATTGTACCAGTTCATTAGACCATGAAAGGAAGGGGAGAGCTGTCTCTGTTAGTGGCATACTAACGAAAGTCCACCTTCAGGTGACTGAACTACAGCACAGCATCTGCCTTGGAGCCTTATTTCACTTCTGCTATTTTAGTATTTCTGGTACGTTTATTTTATAGTATTATCCCTTACTGTAGCTTTCATCACTAAAAAGACATTCCCTTTTCTCCCCAGCTATCAGATCTCACAAAAGCCCCCCAATATGTTAATTACCTTGCGAAACTTAGACAGATTTGAAGAGCTGACTGGAGTGAAGTGTATGGATGTTTATTTTTTAAACAGCGATATTGTCCTGCCACTTTCCCTTGGCTGACATACAGAATAGGTTTTACACATGTATTGATACTTCAGGCAATCTACATGGGCAAAACAGCTGACTCTAGTTTACAGACTATTCAAGATTAATTTTAAAAGGCCCACCTCCACATTTAAGTTTCAAGTATTTCTCTACCCTTGCCTTTCTCGGCGAGATCGAGCACTCTGCTTAACAAAACGCCCACCTCAACACCTACCAGGAGACTATTTACAATGCAATGAAATTAAACCTTTTCATGTGAAGTACTCACAGCTGTTGCCTCAACTCAGGCGTGTCTTGTGGTGTTCCAAGCTGATGTAGTATTCTCTGTATTTCAGCAGCTGTTTGTGAAGAGGAAGAGAAATCTTAATGGGGCATGGACAATTCCCCACTTAATTTTATGCATTTTTGCTTGACAAGTCTAAAGACAAAAAAGTTTTCAGAAACTGATACTCGAGAGTTTTTCAACCTACTACAAAGACTCCACTCAAGAAGTTCCAGAACAACTAGTGAATGATTTTTGACCAATCAAAAGCCCAGAGCTTCTTAGAAAGGACAGGAAGGTATTCAAGTGTCTAGGCAGAAACAAATAATTTAAAAATTGGTTAAAAATGTAATTATAATAAGTATAAAACCAGCCTTTTAATATTAATTGTTAAAATAAGCACAACAATTCTGATGCTGGTTTAATCACGTTTTGCACATGTAATTTTGAAAAGCCACATTAAAGACTGCCATGAGATTATCATACGCAAATTTTTCAGATCCAGTGCACTGATGAAGAGACAACGACAAAGGATTTAGGGGCTTACAGGACACTAAAAACATATAAATAATTGGGTGCCAAGGTTTAAACTGTAATTTTGAAATCCTTAGTTTTAAATGTGAGATACAAATCACCAATGATTTTTCAGTGTATTTCATAAAATATATTACTTTTTAACTGCAATAAGTAGCACATCATCTGAGCCTTATTTCCAGCTTAATATATTTAACTGACAAATGAGAAAGCAAGGAAAAAACACCAAGATGCTTCAAGGATATGCAGTTTATCACACTGCAAAACTAGTATCCTCTATGCGGTTTTCCTTTAACACCTTCACATGTTCTAAAACAAAATAATACCCGCATGCAAAATAATTTAGACCTCAGCTAGAAGTAGACTTGTCTTCCCTGTAGTTCTGTGGCCCTCTCCAGGTAGACTGGTATACCACGGTCAGTAGAAAATATGATGGTATGTTATTATGTGGGATCCTCAGTTGATATATTTTTTTCCTAAATACAGTTAAATTTCAGTAAAAGGCATCTCTAAGCAATGAAGAAAACCTTAAAACAATCAAACAAAAAACCCAGACAAAATAACTAAGTATTTTTCCATTCACTGTGGAAGAGATCTGTAACAGACAATTTCAGTTATAAGGAAGTTACCTGTGACCTGTGTTAAGCATGTAGATAGAACTGGAATGCCTTAGCAAGTTTTTAGTAATACTATTAATTCTAATTTTTGTTTCATAACAAGTTTCCAGTGAAGTAGATAATATTGGCTTTTCTACACTGCTTTACACAACATCCCAATGTTGACAACTGTTATAGCAAATTCCTTCTGAACACACCCAGGTAACGAAGATATCAAAAAAAGGGAAAAGTTTGTACCCAAGTTTTCCATGAAGTAAAAATCAAATACTTCAAATTTATTTGGGGGAATTGAATGGACACAAGCTACTAAAAAAATTACTGAAGGGAACAGCACTGTCAGAGGGGTTTCACACAGAGTGTATTTTAATTAAGTTGAAAAGCAGCAAATCATCAGTGAAAACTTTGGAATTTTGCTTACAGTTGCCCCCTTCCGCAAGCACCAGCCTTTTCCTGAGTGGTGGAGGCCTCCTGCCTGCTGGGACCTGGGAACTGTCCAGGCCAGCACACTTGCTGGCACTTGGTGCTGGTTACAAGTACTGATAAACACAGACACTGGGCAATTCAGCCTTCTTTTCATGCTCAGTGTAATGCATCGTTTTAACAAAAAAAAAGATAAATGGCTGGCATTATTTTTGGCAGAGATAGCTGGGTTTATGCAGCCTAGAGAAGTCTCAGGCTTCTTATCATCATGTTCCAGTATTTAAAGGGTGGCTAAAAAGAAGATACTCTCTTTTTTTACAAGGAGTCACACAGAAAAAGATGAGGGGTTTTGGGCACAAGTTACTCCCAAGAAGATTCCAACTGGACACAAGAAGAAAGTTTTTCACAATGAGAACAATCCACCACTGCAATAATCTTCCCGGGGAAGTGCTGGATTCCCCAGCACTAGACACTTTCAAGATTCAGCTGGACAGGGTGCTGGGACATCTAGTCTAGGTCATGCTTTGCCTCGAAAGGTTGAGCCAGATGATCCTTGAAGTGCTTCCAACCTGGTGTTCTATGAATCTAATATCTGTAAAATTGAACATAAAATATCCTTTGTTTGTTCCAGAGCACTGTCCCCTCTATTTCAAGAGCCAAAGAGCTGTGATTCTGTATGTACTTTTACAGGGAGAATTCAAAACAACCAACCAACAAACACCCCAAAACCAGCAACAACAACCAACACCCCACCCCCCTCACCCCCCAAAAAAACCACAAAAAACCCAACGCAAAACAAACTGCGAGCAGTCTGTTAACAGCCGCTTTCCAGGCAGAAAAAGTATCGGTGTGTCCTATCGCCACCTAGAGATGTATTAGTTAAGTGCAAATAAAGAAAATAACAGCGTTTTGCTTTAAACAAAGGCTCTCTACTCGAATAATTCTCTGAAACAAAGCCTATACCTACAATATTTGCATTCCCAGTTAGATATACATGCCTCATCTAAAACTGAACACAACCAGATAATTGAGGTAAATTTAAAAGCTAGCAGCACATAGCTGTTCAGCAACATGATTCCAAGCAGAGGGAAGTTCATCCCAGCTCAGGTCAGGATTCAAGAATGCAGAGCAAAATTCAAATACATTTTACCAAGAAGTCTATTAAGTCTGCGTCAACATCACAAAATGTTAACAGGATTTCAAATCTCAAAGTAAAAAAAAAAAAAAAAATCAATTAAAGGGGGAAAAAAACCTAAACAAGGCACTGATTTTTCTGGGCTCCCTGTAAAGTTAGCATTTTCCACCTTAACCTTTCACAATAAGGATATTATTAAGAAAAAAATAGCATTTCTCATTTTTTTTGTTCATACAAAGTACACTGCATTGAAAAGTGAAATACTGCTTATTCAAGTAAGCAAATGAAAAAAAGGTGGAGCAGTATAAGTAAATTTGGGCCAATAAGCTTCAGCAGCACTCCTGAGGCTGTCTTCATAAAAAGACAAAAGCAAGCTGAAAGGACCAGTATGACACAGAAAAATTAGAGAAGCTGACCTTCCCAAAATCTTGATTTACAGTACACACCTGCAGATTGATGAGTTAAAGAAATCCATCCTTTGTACTCCTTCATATAAACATGATGGAGTGTATACAGGATAGAAAAAAGTATACCTTTATAGTCTTCCAGTTTTTTTGGTTTGGCTTGTTTTTTTTTTTTTTTAAACAGATTTCTTACTGTAGCTACTACTTTTTCAGACATTTGATACAACACTAAACATATGATCAGAAAACCACCTAAACCACAGATATTTGTCCAGACTCATGGACTCATATATCTTTACTGATAAAAACAAAACTAGAAAGAGTCAATAAGACACTATCACCTGGATCACAGATGTAAGGTGTTTTGTTCCCTCATATGTATGCACAGCCATCTTGCAGAATTTGATTCAAAGCTTTGAAACTTCTTTGGTAAAAGTGAATATCGATTCCTTTCCTCAAGGGAAAAGCAGAGTAACTTTAGTCTCTTCTCCTGAAGGTTAAACTGTAGAAGCACCTCTGCTGGCTCCCTCTACAGACCCATCTGGGAAACAAGCAGGGAGAGAATCTTGGCACTGAAGAGCAGAACTGCAGGAAACCTGGGATTTTTTTTCATTAAGCAAAGACTCCTTATTTCCCAGCTTTACTGCTGATGGTGGTATTTATAAGGGTACTGCCTCCCTCGTTTAACCAGAGCTTTTTGCCCCTGCACAAGGAATTCATATTGGCATGTCAAGGCACCTGGCAGCTGCTTTGGTGCCTCTCAATCCATCAGTAATGTTCAAGTTTCCCAGAGAGCCAAAGGCCTAGGCCCAACTCAAAGTCCTAGTTCTGTGCTGTAAACATACTGGTAACAATAAGGGACCTAAGATCAGAGCACAGTTTTGATGTTTTCCTAGGTTACCTGACTCTTTAGGTATTCACCCTTCCCAATTCTTCTAACTTCCCAAGGAGCTTTAAAAGATAGGAGTAATATGACTACCAAAGGTCCCTCCTGAGCATTACCAATCCTGTAACAGTGTCTGACTAGATCTTGTGCATGATTGTAATCCATTTCAGTGCAAAGTCTGACAGGTTCCTTGGGTATGTACAGCTAGCTAGCTGCTGGACTTTGCTCAGGAGCTGCGGAAGGGCACATACCATGTGCGTGTAGGCGTTCTGCATCAGTCACCAGGATATCGCAACAGCCTTCATCAGAGGCATGCATGCTCCTGAAGCCACTTCTACACTGAAGATCACAGTAGATGTTTGCATATAATGAAGATCCGCAGCTCTTTCAGGGCTCATACTGAAAGTGGCAGTAGCTGTACCTTGCCAGCTTAGCCTGGCTATAAGCCACCACAGAAGACAAGTCCCCACTAGGAACTAGGCAGTGCAGTGACCAGGGTACATGATACCATGCAAGCAAAGTACATTTTCTCCAAGCAGTTGCTATCTCACATTCAAAAAAAAATAATCTCACTTTTTCCACCTGAAACTTAAGTCTTACATTATAAAGAACCAATACTACATTAGTAAAAATACTTTTCACTTATCTTTGTGGCATTCCTGGTCAAGATATCATAATACATACCTATTAGCTGATGAAAGCTCTTCAGCTACATTCAGGTCTGTCACATGCTCAGGAACTGGTCAGGCACGGTTAATGATGAGCCAGAGAAACAATTAAAACCTAACCTGAATTTCTACAGAGAAAACTATTTAAGACTCAGCTCATATTTGCTTTTACTTAGCCAAACAGTTGTTCCATTTCTAATCAGTGTTCCCTCTAGTCAGAGAAAAAAAAAAAGGGGGGGGGCACAGGAAAAAAAACCCTCATATATAAGGCTGCTTTTCTCAAAATGACTTACAGGAGTAGCAAGATTCACAGTGGAAATATTCACATTTTTTAACAGGTAGGAGTATTTGAGAAACATGTTCGTCCAGATCTGCAATATATACTGCTTTTTCCTTAGATAAAAATGTATTT